TACCGCTCACACGTTCCTACCTGGTAATGTGGTCGGATTAAATTTCTCCATTACATTTGACTCAAAGTTTGTTGATTTATCCTCACCCACCCCCATTATGGACAACTGGCAAGTATTGTGGGGAATTTCACACACTTCAGGTGATAATTAGGAATATAAAAAGAAAAAAAGCAAAATGAAGGCTCTCAAAAAGGCGAGAAGACAAGCAAGGAAAGGAAAGGGAAAGGGAAAGGGAAAGGGGAAAAGGAAAAGGAAAAGGAAATGTAAGTGTACCAAGCACCCAATGTAAGATTTAAAGCTATGGGGCAGAAGAGATGGCTCATTGTTTAAAAGTACTTTCTGTTCGATCATAAGGACCAGAATTCAGATCCCAACACTCATTTACCAAGCTGGGAATCTGTGGCATGCCTATAGGTCCAGCTTCGAGCAGGGTGGAAACATAAGGATTGCTAGGGCTTGCTGGCTTCTAGCTTAGGCAAGGAAACATCCACCCTGGATTCAGGGAAAGAAACTCTGCCTCAGAGGAATAAGTGAATAGTAGATAGAGAAATACTCAACCCCCTCTTCTGGCCTCCATATTCCCACACAGCTATGTACACCTATGCACACCTATGCACATACTCACACAGACATGTACACATGAAAGTCATATAATAAATTTCTGGTGTAAATTAAAATAAACAGTTACCTTGATTATTATATTTTCTGAGATCAATATTAATTTTTTTCAAATGAGTTCTGTGGGCTGGTCAGATGGCTCAGTGGTTAAGGGCATTTGTTATTCTTGCAGAAGACCACCTACCTACAAGGTAAGTGAGCACAACATCTCTCACTTGGAAAGAAATGCCAAGCAACACTTGGCTCATTAACCAGAAGTTATTTCCATGACCAAATGTAAAATGGAAGGAAGACTGGAAAATATCACTTGCTGTATGCTCAGGAGAAGCATGAAAAACAGCTCCTGAATTGTTAGCCATCATAAGCTACAACCTTGAATGGGAATGTGCTTCATTTCTTTCTTTCTGTTTTCATTTTTAATGTAATGTTTGAGAGTTTCATACCAGCATTATTGTGTATTTTGAACAAATCACCGCCTCCCCTCCAGCTCCTTCCATACCCCCACTCTCACTTTTCCATCTCAACTTTGTATACTTCTTTTAAATCCACTGACTTTGCTTAGTGCTGTCGGGATGTGCATGGGCACAGGACATCTACTGGGGCACGGGAAACCTACCAGGGGCTGCATCCCAGAGAAAAAATGGACACCCCCCCCATCCCCATTCCAGCAACCACCATTTGGCAATAGCTCCTCAGCTAGAGTTGGGATTTCGTGATCTCCTAGGCCACCCATGCTCAACTTTGGCTGGCTTGATCTTAGACAGGTCTTGTGCATACAGTCACAACCACCGTGAGTTCATGTGTGCAGTGTCAAATACAGAAAGCACTGTTTCACAGCATTCCTTCGCCACCTCTGGCTCCTACAATCTTTCTGCCCCCCTCTTCCTGTATGATTCCTGAGTCTTAGGGGGAGAAGATGTGATCCATATGTGATCTAGAGCTGAGCATTCCAGAGTCTCTTAGTCTCTGCATTTTGACCAAATGTGAGTCTCTGTCAATCACCATCTCCTACAGAAAGCAGCTCTTCTGATAAGGGTTGAGAGCTACCCCACATCCATCATCAGGACATTGGTCTCTCCTTTTTCAATGCACCGAGAGCTCATTATAGAGTCTAAGTCAAAGAGGGCTAGCTCTTTGTGTTCCCGTCACTGTCACCTTTTGTAACTCCTTAAGCCTTCTGAACAAATCTAATCTTCCTTGTCCTGGCCTAGAAGAAGGAAGCTGAGATAAATGAGCTGTAACTGAATGACACAAGTTTTGCTTTGTGGTTGTCATAATTCTCTCTCCCTCCTTCTATCCCTCCCTTTTCCTTCCCTCAGTCCCTCCTTCCCTCATTCCTCCCTCTCTCTCTCTCTCTCTCTCTCTCTGAGACAAGGGCTCATATGTCCCAGGTCAGCATTGAACTCACTGTGTAGTTGAGGGTCATCCTGACTTTCTCTTTCCTATGCTGGTGTTACTGCTATGTGTCATGTGTCCCTGGTTTATGTCGTGCTGAGGAGCAAACTCAGGACTTTGTGTATGCTTAGGCGAGCATGCCAGCAACTAAACTACGTCCCTGGTCCTTAGAGTGGTTTACCTACATAATTACTTTGTCTGGAAATAGAGAACTCATTTGAAATGCATTAAAATAGGTATGTAAAATCAACAGCAGAGATACTGCGTTTTCAATTACACCCATGTGCACAGTCAGTGCTTGACAGTCTGTGCCAAAGAAAATGAAATGAATAATAGAAAGCAATGTATGATTTCCTGTTTACGTACAAATTCAGTCACCAGTCTGTATAATACCCATCTCTACTGTCTGATTTTCAGAACTGTCCTCCATTGTCATTTATGTCAAGTGTGTGTGTGTGTGTGTGTGTGTGTACATGTGTGCATGCTCGTATATTTTGGTACCTGAATGCATGCATGTCATAGCATAGCATTTTTGTGGAGATCAGAGGAAAACTTTTGGGAGTCACTGGCCCAAAATGATTAAATTTAGATGATAGTTGTAGGTGAGAGAATGAGTATGAGGATGTCCACCCCACACTCCCAAGAAGAAGGAGAGGCCAGGAACAAGAACAGGAAGATGGCCGCCTGCAAGCCATGAATAGGCCCTAGCCAGAACTCACCATGTGGGCACCCTGACCTTGGACTTGACTCCAGAACTGGAAGAAAATGTCAGTTGTTCAATCTAGCTAGCACGTGGTATTTTGTTATAACTTAATTTTGCTTGTTATCAGGAAAATGTACAAAGGCTTTTTTGTCCAACACTATGTAGCAATGAAATGAATAAAAAAATTACATATATCTACATGAATGAGTCACCAGCAAGGATTGATTGAGACTGATAAGATGGCTCAGTGGGTAAAGGCGCTTGCTGCCAAGCCTGAGGAAAGAGAGAGCTGACGCCTGAAAGTTGCCCTCTGACCTCCATACTAGGATCATGGCATGCACATGCACACATACATTAAAAATAAATCTAAAAAATAAAATAAAGGTTGACTGAAGAACAAAGTTTTGAGATAATATATGTGTTCTGATACTAGTTATGTAAAATGTTGTTATTTATTTTACATTTACATGCAAAATTACAGTATATATTGACACATGTAACAAAAACAGGATGGCCCATTGTTGTTTCTGGATTCCTTTTTGGAATAAAAGGAATCAAGGTAGGCTAGAGCTTCAGCTGTTGTACTCTACCTCTCTCTCTCTCTCTCTCTCTCTCTCTCTCTCTCTCTCTCTCTCCCTCCCTCCCTCCCTCCCTCCCCCACCTCCCTCTATAAGCACATTTGGAAAACATAGCATCTACATAGTTGACAATGTCTGTGCTTCAGCCTGATCGTCCTGGATCACTTCCTGACTCCCGTAAATGGATAGCAAACTGCCTAAACCTCTCTTCTCCAATTGTTCTCTTCTTGTTTACTTTTGAAACCCACTCTGGCCAGATTTTTACTCCACCCATTTATTTAAAACCATCTTTGCCAAGATCAGGCAATAACTTTCATATTGTTAAATCCACAGTCCCTTTCTAGTCCTCAGCATTCACTTGCTCCACGTTGAAACATGTTCTTCTCTTACTGTGATACGAGTCTGGGTTATTCTTTAGCAAACATTCCTTTTCCTCACCCTCCACTGTAGGCTTAATAGTTTCACAGGATGCTGATGTTGGCTTTGGCTATGTGATGGCCTCAAGGTAATGGAATGTTAGCTTGCTTGATGTGATGGGGGCCTTCAGTGTGCTCATAGGCTTTGGAATGCCATGTGAACTTTGTGATATACTGTGAGATCCCAAACTAGCTGCGGTTTCTTCCTTCTTAGCTCCTGAATACAAGTCGAATAGACAAAAACTCAACTCATGGCCTAAATCTGAGGCCCTCAGTTGAGGCAAGGCCAGCTAAACTAAACCTACCCACAGATTGGTGGCCATGAAGACAAAGACAAATCCATCAGTTAACTTGTGCTATGGGGTGATTTGTTATACAGTGTTGTTATATCATTCCTAACTCATCTGCCTTCTGGGACACATCAGTGCTCAGATTTCCCTCCACACTCACTCTTATTCTTCATTTCCCTAACCACTTACTACTGGGGTGCCTCAGGAGCCTTTAGACCTCTTCTCTTTTCTCATGCCTGGTGTACTCTTAGCCGTCCTTATATCTTTAAAAAAATATTGAGAGGTTGATGAGTCCTACGTTTATATTTCCAGCCAAGCCTCTCTCTCAGTCTGCAGACTGGCATCACCAATTGCCTGCCCCGATGCACCCACTTGGATATCTAATGGGATTCTCAAATTCAATCAGCTCTTGAATAAGTTCTGCCCCTTGCCCTACTGTTTTCTCTCAGTCTTCCTCTTTATCAAGGCAACATGCTCTTTGCATTGGCTCGTGGAGAATGCTTTGGAGTCATTTTTGACATACCCTCTCTTATCTCTCACATCACATCTCTGGGAAATGTGGTTGACACTGTCTTCACAATGAATTGCGAAGTGTGGAGGTGAGACAGGCTCTCACCATGTAGTCAATCCCTTTGTAGCCCAGGTGGCTTTGAATTCATAGAGAGCTACCTGCCTCTGCCTCTGGGTGCCAAAATATATTCGAAGGCCTGACCCTTTTACTCCTGTCCACTCCTCTTCCTTCCTCTTCCTCTTACTTGGATAGCACAAGAGTCTCTTAACTATTTCCTGGCCCTGCCCTTCCTTTTCCCTCCCCATCCCATATTCTGTTCTCAAAAATGTTAGAATGCTCAGTTTTAAATGCCAAACGGAAGCAAAGGCCTATAATCCCAGTTCTTAGGAGGCTGAGGCAGGAGGATTGAAAGTTTGAGGGCAGCCTGGGCTTTATAGCCAGACCTTGCCTCAAAAAGGAAAAGAAAAAGATAAACATTTTAAAACTAACCAGCCAGATGGTGCCGCTTTCCAGAAACTGCTTCCTTGATTGAGGCTGCAGTGGTATCTGTTGTAGCTGTCCCCTGCCTGGTTCAGCTCCTCCGACCTCCTCAGTCTTCTGGGGACTGTGGACTCCCAGATGTGCTCATGCCCTCATCCCGGCTGTTCCCACTGGCTGGAATGCCGTTACCTGGAAAGACACACAGCTTTGCCACTTTAAAAACCCTGGCCCAAATACTTCCTTTCCGTCTGTTATTTCATCACTGGGGAGCAGGAGGCAGGAGGAATGGAAGTTTGAGGACAGCCTGGGCTGTATCAGAAGTTCCATTCCCAGCCCCTGCTTCATAGTGAGTCTCAACAACACAGCACAGCACAGAAGCCTCCTTTCCCCGAGGCCTTCCCAAAACACTTCAACATTGCAGTTCCCCACCCCATATGTCCCCATGCCCTTCCCGTCTTTATGGTACCTGTCACAACCTGAACACAACGTATTTTTTTTTTTTTTTGGCCTGGTTATGCATTCACTTTATTGTAAGTTTCAGCTTGAATGAATGTTCTGTCCCCGAGAACAGAGGACATTTTTAGTTTGTTTTGTTGTCTGTGGAATCTTCAGATCCTGGGGGGGAAAGTAACAGCAATCGGATTTGTCTAAAAAATCAATGAACTTAATTAAGCTCTTCTGTTGGGTTTCCCAAGTCCTCAGTGGAGGGGCCTGATGGAGACCTCCAACTTGGGCTTTCTCTCTCTGCCTAGTGGTTGGCTGTGAGTCCTTGCGCCTGCTTCCTTGGGCTGCTGCAGGCAACCTCTTTTAACGACTGGACTAGGCACCAATCTATGAGTACAGCAGAATGTCATTAGGAACCATTTCATTGATTTCATTTATTTATTTGTTTTGCCAGTTGTGTTTGGTTCTACCCTAAGTCTCTCCAGCCTGTCCCTAGGTATACCTTGTCTCAGCACCCCCCCCTTTTTTTTTTTTTTTTTTTTTTTTTTTGCTTTTTTCTTGAAGATTCAGAGAGTTCTTAAAATAATCTTTGTCCCAGCACATCTTGCAGGCAGGACAGATCATAGGTTGAAGGTTTTGGGGCTGGGTTGATGTCCCAACCCAACACTGGAAGCCTGACTGGTAACAAGAGATGCCTGGTTCAGGCTCCATGTCCTCTATTACTAGGAGTCTTGTCTAGGTCACCCTTGTAGATTCTGGGGGGGGGGGAGTGTTCCACTGCACTAGGTTTCCATACCGCCCCCTACAAATGCCCCTCAATTCTAGTCGTCTCTCCCTCCATCCCTCCCTTCCCACCGGATCCCGTCTATTCCCATTCCCACCTGCCCACAGTCCACCCACAAAATCTATTCTATTTCCCCTTCTGAGGGAGAGCCATGCGTCCTCCATAGAGCCCTCTTTGTTTTCCTCTTTTCTTTTTTTTTTGAGCCCCCCTTGTTACTTAGCCTCTGTAGGCCTGTGAGTGTAGCATGATTATCATTTACTTAACAGCTAATGTCCACTTATAAGTGACTATATACCATGCTTGTCTTCCTGGGTCTGGGTTACTTCACTCGGGATGATTTTTTTTTCTAATTCTATCTATTTGTCTGCAAATTTCATGATGCCATTTTTAACTGCTGAGTAATACTTTCTTGTGTAAATGTACCACATTTTCTTTATCTTTATCCTTCTTTATCTGTTCTTTGGTTGAGGATTAACTCTCACACCCTGATAGTGGGAGACTACAGTACTCCACTCTCACCGACAGATAGGTCATCCAACCAAAAACTAAACAGAGACAGACTGGAGCTAACAGACATTATAAACCAAATGGACCTAACAGATATCTATAGAACATTTCACCTAAATACAAAAGAATATACCTTTTTCTCAGTACCTCATGGAACATTCTCCAAAACTGACCACATACTCAGTCACAAAGCAAGTCTCAACAGATACAAGAAAATTCAAATACATCCTATCAGACGACCATGGATTAAAGCTGGATATCAACAACAGAACAACAGAAAGCCTACAAACTCATGGAAACTGAACAAGTCTCTCATGACCCCTTGTGTGTGTGGGGGGGGGAGGTCAAAGGACCACTTTCACAGGGCTCATATAGTAGATATCCTACATATCAGATATTTAGATTATGATTCATGACAGTAGCAAAACGTTATGAAGTAGCAATAATGTAATTTTATGGTTGGGGTTCACCACAACATGAGGAACTATATTGAAGGACCACAGCATTAGGAAAGTTGAGAACCACTGCTTTAGAACCAAAGGAAATAAGCATACCTAAGAGGAGTAGATGGCAGGACATAGTCAAACTGAGGGCTGAAATCAATAAAATAGCAACAAAGAGATCAGTACAAAGAATCAATGACACAAAGAGTTGGATCTTTGAGAAAAATCAAAAGATAGACAAACCCTTGTCCTAACTAACTAAACGGCAGAGAGAATATCCAAATTAACAAAATCAGAAACCAAAGGGGGATATAACAGGCAACTAGGAAAATCCCAAGCATCATTAGGTCATATTTAAAAACCTGTACTCCACAAAACTGGGAAAATCTAAAAGACATGATTAACTTTGTTGATAGATACTACTTACCAAAGTCAAATCAAGATTAGATAAACAATGTAAATAAACCTATAAAAACCCCAAGGAAATGGAAGCAGTCAATAAAAAAATCTACCAACCCAAACAGCCCAGACAAGGCCAGACAGTTTTAGCGCAGAATTCTACTAGAGTTTCAATGAAAGCTCATTTTCAATGCACTAGGGTTAGGCGGTGGAAGCCTGGCTTCCTTGATTGGTCTTGCTTTCTCTACCCTCACTGTCCCTGCTTGCTGAGAGTCCCTTCCTATTCTGATTCCATGCTGGGAACTCAGTGTAAGCATAGCTCACACCAATGAGACAGTAGGGCTGGGAAGGCAAGCTCTCAGGGATGGATTGGGTAGGGATGGGGTGGGGGGTGGGGGGTGGTCTGGTAGAAAGATCAACACTAATTTTTGGTTTTGCTGTAGAAGCAGGAACCTCTAGACTTACATTTTGCCTTCCTGCTATTACGCTTGATTAGAAATCGTTACAATGTTTACCATGATTAGAACTAGACACAGGACTAGATACATTTTTTAAAAAGAAACAGAAAAATGTCTGGTGCACACACACACAGGCCTGCATGCATCCAGCTCAGCTCTTCCGATCCAACAATCATTGAAGGAATCCTTCAGATAGGAGCTCGCCAGACTTTGTTCCTTGCACCAGTTAGGAACCAGTAACCCAGTTGTGGTTACTAACCATGAAAAAAAAAAAGTTGCATACACTGCCCTAAAAGGCCCCTGCGTCCCCAATTCAATTTCAACAATTCATCTCTTAATTATAAGAAGGGGGATTGAGCTGGCCCAAATCTGGCTTGTCTTCCCAGGGGTGGTGGTGGGGTGGGTTGGAGGGGGACATCTTGTTGGTCTGGTCTCCCCTTTGGAGGGGGCTTCCCATTTTTCCTTCCTCTTGCCCTCCAACTGCGCCCCCCCAACCCCCCTCGGGGCCGGCAAGTATTCCTCATTACAGATTGTCCTGGCATTCATCAGAGTCACTTATGATGACCATTTCCTCAGTATTTTGGTTTAGCGCGGGGATGATCCCCAGCTGATTGGCATTCATTTCTCAGAAAGAAAAGGGCCCCAGGACAGCGACGACGAGAACTGACACCCCACAGTGGTCAGGGTCGGCCGGCCGGGGCTAGGCTCTGCGGGCGGCGAGGGTGGCCGCGGGAGCGGCTGACAAGGCACCCCACGCCCCTCGGCGGCACCTGGCGGCGGCGGGCAGGCGGGCGGAGGGCGGTCCCGGGTGACGCGCGAGGCTGGGAGAGCCGGCAGGTGCCACCCCGCGGCCTCCGCCTCTCGCCACTTGGGTCGGCGGCTCGGGCAGCAGGGGCCGCTGTGTGAGCCGCGCTCGCACCGACGGACCGACCGCCCGCCGCCGCCCTGCCTCCCTCCCTCCCTCCAGCGCGCGCTGCTCGGCTCCCCGCGCGCGGTGAGTGACGGGGCTGCGGGGCTTCGGGCTCTTGGGGCTGGGCCGAAGCTTTCGGGGGTGGCGCGGAGGACGATCGGGGGGTAAGGGTGTGCGAGCCGAGGGGCCGGACCGGGGGACCGTGCGGGTGGGGAGCGGCGGAGAGCCCGGGGGGCGCGGTGCGGGGCCGGGCAGGGCCTCCCTCCCGCCGAGGCTTGCCCGCCAGTCCTGTGCGCCCGCGCTCACCTGCGCCGCCCGGAGTCCTGCCGCTCCGCACCCCCAGGGAAGGTGGTGGTCTCAGGGGCCCCGGGGACGCAGAGGTGCTGTGAGTAGGACTCAGGGAAGGAAGGTCCTGCTCGACCTTGGACCGGGGAGGTAGGTCACTTTCCCGGGTCCCGGACCTCGCCTCCCAGCCGCCTCTTCCCAAACCAGCGATCCCTTCTTCCTGCTTCTGTGTGCGAGCGTCCCGCCCGCGGGAGCTCGGGGCGCTGTCTCTTTGGCTCCGGGAGCAGCATCCCGTCCTGGTGGCTGCTGCGGGCCAGGGAGGGAGGATGAGTCCACAGCTGTGGAACAGGTCGCTCCGGAGACGGAATGCCAAAGTCTGCCGTTTATTGCCTGGGTGTCGTGCGTGGGAAGTGGGCCTTTCCCTCCTATCCCTCCCTGATTGAAACTTATCGGATGCGGAGGACCTCCTTTTGGGACAACCTGGGGAGGGAGCGGTAGGGTTCGCTGGGCACCCCAGCTCCCGGTACGGTAGGGCATCCCCACTTGCACCAGGGAAGGCTTTCAGCGACTGGCCAGTGTCTTCTGAGCCCCTTTCTGTCCCTAAAACAGCCCCCCTTCGAAAGCGTTTTCATTCAACCCTGAGCTCCCAGGTCATCCTTTATTTCACATCTCTCTTCTGCATTTCTTGCGCGAAAGTCATCCTCTTTAGTGAGTGCAGCCACTGTCGTACCCCATGCTTGCTTAGTCTCCTCATTTGTAGTTTACCCTCAGGCAGAAATTGTTAAAAAAAAATTGTAAAAAAAAAAAAAATTGTTAAAAAAAATTGTTAAAAAAAAATCGCTGCCCCCCTGCCCCCTGCCCCCCTGCCCCCCTGCCCCATAGCAGATGCGTATCTAGTGCTTATGTACTTGGCTGGAAGTACTTCACGCTGTCAGTCTTCCACAAACCTGTTAAGTAGATAATGTTTCCAGTTTAGGGTTTGGCCTCCAGCCAGCCAGGAGCAGTTGGCTGCTAGACGGATGAGTCCAGAGTTCTTCTTTTCGTTCTTATTTTCACGAAGTGTTGTGCAGAGGGTCCAGACTCTCAATCTTTGGTTCCTTTTCCTTGTTTGTCTTGCTGTAATAACTAAAGCAGGTGCCACAGGCTCTTGATCTCTCTTCTTGTCTCTCTGCTATTCTGTGTGAACCGCAGTGGACCTTGTACATGTCAAGTTTTTACTTTAGGCTGAGCCACACGCTCAGCCCTCTCGCCCTTAAAAGATAGATAAAGAGATTGATTGACAGATTGATTTCATGCAACTTCATGTTTTAAGTCTACTTAGCTTCGATTAAAATTTGTTGCTCTGTGTCTTCATTTTATCTCAGAGGACACATTGTAACACTCCGTTTAGGTGCTCTGTGTCTTCCCAAAGCTCCTGTAGAAGATGATTTCTGTTGTAATTAACCTAGTCACCAAGGTGAAAAACTTAGCCATCCTGTCTCCTTGTATTACCCCAATCCCAAACTTGAAATCTTTTATCCAGTTTTCCTGTGATCTCAGCTTGCCTACATCAGTCTCAGCCTGCCCCCTACCCCATCTGCTCTTCTCCAGACCCCCTCCTTCACACTCTGAACACACATTTATCACTTATCATTGACACATTTCTCTTCTCATATTTGTTTTAAAATAAGATCTCATGTATCCCAGGGTGGCCTCAAACTCATTATGAAGCATAGGATGGCCTTGAACTTCGGATCCTCCTGCCTCTACCTCTGGATTGCTGTGATTATAGGAATGAGTCACCACTTCCGGTATTATTCACTGCTAGAGAGGGAACCCAGGGCTTTATGCAAGCTGGATAAGCCGTTCTACCAACTGGGCCACAATCCCCAGCCAATATACATTTCAACTACTGTTTATCTTCTTTTGTAAGTGTGCTTGCTTTCTGTGAGGAGATCTCTAACATCTTAAGACATGACATTGTCAGACCTTATGTCTAGTAGTTGCTTAATAGATGTTTATAGAATGCAGTGCAACATGAACTAAGGTAGCATGGAAGCAGCAGCCTTGATGATAGTAGAAATCAGGCCAGTCTTACAGGATACTCATCAGTGTGCATTGGTAGGCGTGTACTGCCACACTGAGGTTCTAGTCATCCTGATTAATCATTACATCTCTTGATGTGATGTAGGAGCCAACCGTATGGGAACCATGACTCTCAAAACAAAATTGGAAAAAACACTAAGTTTTCCTAAAATAATCGTTTTTTTTTTTTTAAAAATTGGAAATGCATAGCGCATACATAAAAGTACACAAAACATCAGTGAACAGATGAAGCGGTGGCTATATTTAGTAGTAGTATCTTATTCTGTTAGAACGTATGATATTGGAGGAGACTGCGGTTGGGACGAACAGGAATCTTTTCCCAAAACATGTGGGTCTGATCTAAGCTGGAGAGGCCAGGCCAACAAAGAATTGGCTGTGTGTGGTAAGTGGTAAGGTTTGAGGTGAGGAGAAAAAAAACTGAAGGTGCTCCCAAAGCCACAGCACCATGAGATGAGGGCGGTGACCCTGGGAGAAAGGAGAGAGCCCAGGAAGCAGGACTTTCCCTCATGTCATTGTTGATTTTCTATGATGTACCTCTTGTGCCAGCATCAATTTTAAGATAGAGAAGGATTCTATTTAGAGCCACTGTGAATACGGTAGCATAGCAAATGGAGAAGCAATCTGGAACTTAAGGATTCCTCTCCTATGTTATGGAATGTGCCATCAGCAGATCTTCAGAGGGGAACGGTTCTCACATGTGTTTATGTGACTCACTCAGTTTGAACACTTAGAACTTACTGGAAAGTTGAAAATGTCTATAAATTTGGCAGATAAAAGATAGATCTTCTAAAGACAGCTATGGTGACACATACCTGCATGCCCAACTTTTGGGGGGTGGAGGCAGCTGGATCAGAGGTTCAAGATCATCTTTAGCTACATAGTAAGTTTGGGCTAGCCTGGGCTAGATGGGACCCTGTTCAAGAAAACTGTTTTTGTTTTTTTTTTTTTTTGGTCTTCTAAAAAAGTGAAATTTCCAACTATTCTTCATAACTGGTATAAGTTGATTAAAAGCACATATTAACACACTGGATTAAGGGAAGTAGCCTTTTTTTCTAAATACAAATCAAATCACCTTTTTAAAAAGAGTTTTTTTTTTTTATTTATTATGTATACATACAGTGTTCTGCTTATGTGACAGAAGAGGGCACCAGATCTCATTACAGATGGTTGTGAGCCACCATGTGGTTGCTGAGAATTGAACTCAGGACCTCTGGAAGAGCAGCCAGTGCTCTGAACCTCTGAGCCATCTCTCCAGCCCCGGAAGTAGTCTTTTATAAGTGATGGAAGTAGACATACCATCACACACAGTTAGTTCTTCAGTATTATGTGGATGAAACATTTCCACTAAGAACAATAAATGCCTGTGGGGATTAGGAAAGGGAAACTTGTGTATACTGTTTTGAGGGAATGTAAAAACTGGTATACCTACTATGGAAGTCAGTGAAGGGTCCTTAAAAGTCTAAAAGAACAAAAAACTACCATATGATCCAGCTGTACCATTCCTGGGCATGTAAATGAAAGATTCCAAGTCAGTTTCCATAGAGATGCTTTCATATTAACATGTTTTTCATCATCCATGTAGACCATGAGAAGGGGAGGGGAAGGGTTCAGGGAGGAGAGGGGGCAGGAAGAGAGGGTGATGGGATACATGTGACAAGGGAGCAGAAGGGGAGAGTCGGGGAGGAAGAGAAGAAGTTAGAGTGAAGAAGGGTGCATATGGCTTTTCCATGGGTCTGGGGATTCGAACTCAGGTCCTCACACCTGCAGAGCAAGTGTTTTCTTTACCCACTGTACTTGTATGTTAACTTAAAAAGTTAATAAAAATGAAACAGATTTTCATGTAACTCCCAAATTTCCCAGGTTAACAGCAAACCCACCTGTGAAAGCAATATATAACACGATCACACGTAACACAACACAGACTCTTTCCTTTTCATGAAAATCATAGTGTCAAACCTGGACAAAGCAGTGGTCTTTCACAAGTTGTGTTCTGAGAAAACATTGGCTTCATGTCAGCAGAGGGGCTGGCAGGATGTTGAAGCCTGTCCAGGGTGGTGTAGGTTGGTGGGACACTGTAGTAAACTACTATCACACACAGATGGGGTAGGGCAGGTAAAACAGAGACAGACCTGAGAGCTCTCTGGAGCACAGAGAAGAAGAGTTGGGCAACTGAGGAATGGGTGATGTATGGGACATGAAATCCAGGGAAAGAAAATGCAGTTCTAAGAATTGGAAATTGTGTGTGGGGGTGTGTGGGGGTGTGTGTGCGTAGTAGAATATTTTAAGGTGTGTTACTTTTGTTTATGTTGCATTTGTTTAACTCTGTGAAGCTGTGTTACTGTGCCTGTGTAAAACACTTGATGGTCTAATAAAGACCTGGCCAATAGTGAGGCAGGAGAAAGCACAGACAGGGCTGGCAGACAGAGAGAATATATAGAAGGAAAAACTTGGAGGAGAGATCTAAGATCTAGCAGCCAGAGAAGGAGGACTCCAAGGGCCAGCCACCCAGCTACACAGCAAGCCATGGAGAAAGAGTAAGATCTACAGAAGTAAGAGAAAAGGAAAAACCCAGAGGCAAAAGGTAGATGGGAGAAGTTAAGGAAAGCTGGCTAGAAACTAAGTCAAGCTATGGCCAGGCATATATAATTAAGAATAAGCCTCCATGTGTGATTTATTTGGGAGCTGGGTGGCAGACCCCCCCAAAAGACCGAAGACCAACCAACAGTGTGTATGTGTGTGTGTGGTGTGCATGTGGCCAGAGGTTGGTATGGGTTGTCTTTCTCAGTGGCATCCACTGGAAATACTTTTGCATAGCTACAAAAGAGGGCATGAGATGGGGTTGCCCAGGAAAGCAGGGGTGGTGAGGTTTGCCGAGTGCTTGTTTTGACCTACCGAAGATTGTTTTATTTTATCCTATAGTCAGGGATGCGGGGATGGGGAGCTGGAAGCAGGGAAGGGGAGGGTCCTATGAAGATTGTGTTTGTAACTCAATTGTCTGATGTTTGACACTTTGGCACTGTGAACCGCTCCTATACAGGTTCTGTCTCATTTCTC